CCTGCCCTTGGTAGTGATTTGTCTGCTGGCAAGACCAAGACCCACTCCCAGGGTGTTGTGGTCAGCTAGGCGAGTTGGGCCAGCCAGAGTGTTGCTGTTATTGTGGTGTATACTGCAGTGGAAACACCTCAGAGCCTCTCTGCCCTCTCCCCCCACGGCAAATCCTCCATGCAACTTCTCTGGTTAACAAATGTTCCTGGAAAGCATTTACTCTGGACAAGGGCCCTGGAGAACTCAGGAGCAAGGGGGAGCCTTAAGGATTCAGGGTAGACAGAAGGCGTCCATATTTTACCTGCCCAAGGCCTGACCATGGCTGGAGGTCGTGGAATTAGATATAGCCAGCCTTAGGCACTTGGTTCTTTTTGGGGAGACCCAACCCTGTGGGTCATGGGTCATGGGCCAGGACTCACTGGAGGGTGCTCACCTTGGTGTGAAATTTCCATTCTGTCCAGTGGTCCATGGGCCCGCTAGTTGGAGCAAAAGTGGCCAGCAGTTAACTGTGGTTTCTCAAGCACTTGAAACTCCAGGATCCACATCATGAATTCTGGTGGAGTCAGTCTATGCTATTTTCAACCTATTTAGGGAATTCTTAGACTGTAGTCTCTTTAAAAGCTGGTACATGGTAGGTACCCAATATATATTTGTTGAATTGAACTAATAAATGAACAACCAAAACTTCTGAGGCTTCCTTAAGATGCTGATCACCCCAGCTGGCACTCCATACTCATTGGGAGGAGAAAGGAGGTTGGGCTTCTTTATGGTTTAGGGTCTCTTGCCTGCACCTGCACAGCTGACAGAATCCATCTGAAGACTTTATTATGGCGATATGGTGGTATCTCACAGAATATAAAGGCAAGTTTGGCAGGTTCTCAAAAAAGTCTACTTCAGGAGCTAAGAGCCATCAGAGAGGATAGCCATTCCTTTCATGATTCGTTCTGAGCTTGTGGGCTCAACACCTGGGCTCCACTTGAAGAGAGTAGTTAGAAAGGAGTTAGAAGTGTGTTTAAAAACCTTTTACAGCTGGATTTCCTTAGAATGACATAAGACCCTGAGAATCAGGGGAAGCTACTGTAAAGCATAGGGTTGGGGATGGTGTCAGAGCCTATAATACTTTTTGACTCAAAATAAACCAAGCCCCTTTAAGAGAAGGAGGGGTAGGGAGAGGAGCCTAGAGTGAGTGCCTGAGAGGACCATCTGCTTTCTTCTTCTGGCAGGAGGGGACTGGCAATGGAGAGTTGAGTCCTGGATTTTGGAGCTCTGGCCTTTCTTGAGGCCTGGTATCCCTGACCCCAGTTGTCCCAGGCTTTTGGAGTCTATTTGGGTGTCCCTCATCCCTTCAGTTCTCTACTGCTGATTGTCTTCGGTTACCTTCAGCCCAGCCCTTGTACCTGCTCTGATTCCCTATTCCTAGTTGCTGGGGTGCAAGTGGGGGTCAGAAGGTGTGGTTTCTCTTCTTGCATATTCTAGCCCTAACTCATTCTCATCTGTTGTTTGATTAAGAGATTAATCAATTATAGACCGAATGGTATTAACTGAGGTGACAGTAAAAAAGATTATGGAGAATTTTTATTTTTCTTAGTGTTTGAATATTTTATATTAACATGTATTACTTTTATAAACAGTTAAAGAAGGAAAAAAGATCATGATGTATGCAAAGGTTTAGCTGTAAGGATATTCACTGAAGTGCTGTTTAAAATAGTGAAAAAATAGAAGCCTAAATATCCAATAATAGGAAAAAGACTGAATACATTATGCAATAGAAGACTATGTAGCCATTAAAATGATGCTCTAGACCTATATTTATTAGTACAACAGGTGTTTATCATATGTCAAAAGAAAAAAGCAGGTTATAAAACAATATATACCATATAATCACATTTTTGTTTGTTTTAAAAATTCTCTTCCAGTAGTATCACAGAGTTTGCAGAAGCCTCCCATGGCATAATACCTAAATGCTATATAAAGCACAACATATTTTAAAAGTAACTTAGGGACTTCCCTGGCGGCACAGTGGTTAAGAATCTGCCTGCCAATGCAGGGGACACGGGGTCGAGCCCTGGTCCGGGAAGATCCCACATGCTGTGGAGCAACTAGCCCATGCGCCACAACTACTGAGCCTGCATTCTAGAGCCCACGAGCTACAACTACTGAGCCCATGCACCACAACTACTGAAGCCCATGTGCCTAGAGCCTGTGCTCTGCAACAAGAGAAGCCACCGCAGTGAGAAGCCTGCGCACCGCAGCAAAGAGTAGCCCCTGCTCGCCGCAACTAGAGAAAGCCTGCGTGCAGCAACGGAGACCCAACGCAGCCAAAAATAAATAAATAAATTTATATTAAAAAAATTAAGTGGCCCCATATTATTAATGCCCCCTGAAATCCAACAAAAGCAAACGGAATTCTCCCTAGAGGAGAGCATTCTCAATCCAAGCCTCTAGATTAAATTTAGCCAAATATAAAAGTTACTAAATATGTAAGGATTCAAGTCACCACAAATGAGAATCAGCAGGA